GGCGAGTTATTACTTCCTAGAAACGTGAAACTTGAAAGAGACTGTGTGGTATGAGAAAGTCACCGAGTAAAAAACAGATTAGGATAATATTGAAGTCGCCTAATACCTAATCCTCCCTAATCCTTTGACTGATATACCTCATTCCATGAAACCCTTGTCTTTTTATGATCCTTACGAGATCCCAACAAGAGAAAACACTTCAAAGACTTTCAATGTCCTTGAAACAACTCCTTCTCGAAACTCAATATTCTTTTGCTTTCTTTTTTTGATCACATGAATTAAGAAACTGTTTTGACAACATGTGATAATGAAAAGTGTCGGAATTTTAAAATAGAATAAGTATGAAACTCTATAATTAAAAGTATGAAGTGATTTATCTCAAGAGAATGGAGAAAAAAAAGGTTTGTAAAGATTTTCTTTAAATCATTATTTCATATTCTAGAGAATTGAGATCATGCTCCTTATATATATATGGTCAGTGTAATTGTAATACAATTTTCTTTGTCCTTATCACCTTTTCAGATTTCATATATATGAAAAGAACTCTATGGGGGATCTGCGAACGTTGTTCTGTTCTTGTCTTCTTATTTCAGGGGTCATGTGGAAACCTCTGTTCTTCTCTATCTTCTTTAATCTGTCCTTTAAGCGATCTTAAGTTTACTGCAATATTCTTCAGTATATTTTGAGCTTCAAAACAGTATACATGTTCAAGGGCTTTGAAATTCTGTAATTATCATGGTTCAATTGATGGCTGCATCTGATCAAACCCAGAGTCATTCAAACATAATCTCTAGGTGACAAGAAAAAAACAGTCATAACCAGTGTTGTGTAACAAGTGATTCACACTGGTAATATTGTAAGAAAAATCCATTCATCATATTAAAAATATATAAAGAGAAAGCTCTTAAAGTTTTAAAAATTCAGAAAATATTAAAAAGGAATTTTAATGAATATTACAAATCTTATAGGAGAATTAGCATACTATATAATTTTTTAATATATAATATCTTAAGTCTAATCATATGAAAACTATAAAAAAATTGGTTATTTGTAGTTTTTTTTTATTTAGAAAAACATAATTGAAATTATGTCACATCACCAATTTTTAAAACAAAAGCAGAAATTCATTAAGATTTGAATGAAATGAAAATGATAGGAATTTTGGGTCTTCTGCGATTATGGATAGCTATCAAATGGACTAGCTGTTGTAGTTGCTTATCCATAAAAAGACAGATTGCATACAATAACATTGTAATTGCTCACCCATCGACGAAGGAGAGACTCATACAAGTTGTATATATAGCGATTTGCCTTTCAGGAAAACATGCTTCAACGAATTTGCAGATGTGTGTACCCATAAAAGACTCAAACTCATACGAAGTTGTAGCTTCTTACCTAGCATACTCCAACAGATTTTTTTGTAGCCATTGAGAAACAAGACTTCAAAAGAATTGTAGTTGCCTACCTTTTGAGAATGAATACTCAAATAATACTCTAACTTCTTACCATCGAGAGAGCTGATTACAATATCATTGTAGCTGCTTACCCATCAAGAAAGAAGGCTACGGAATTTTTATAGTTGCTTATCTGTTGATAAAGCGGTCTTTAACCCGAGGTTGCTTACTATTGGAACTCGTTTTTGACGTGAAGGTTTAAAACTACTACCGGTGAATTTCCGGGGAACGTCTTTGCCGGAATAACCGAAAGTTAGGCATGATAAAATCGTAGTCCTAAGCATTATAATGTATCATAACGTATAATTATGTATGTTATGTGTTGGACGTTTGTGTTGACAAAAGCTTGCTATATAAACAAGCTATAAGCTCCTTCTCTAATAAATACACAACACAATTATAATACAATCTCTTACTTCTTATTTTTTTTTTTTGTGTTTTAGAGTGTAAAATATTATTAGGTTCATCAGATTTTATTTTTGAATGCTGCAAAATAGTCTATCATGTTATTGTATCGCATAATACCATCACACTATGGGCAATTAAAAGATTAAAGAGCCATATCGTATAAATCATGGTCTTACACTTATTGAGCGAGGAAACTCTTAAAAAGCAGAAGTTGCTTATTCGGTAAAATGGTAAAACGTAAAACCAACAAAATTCAAGAAATATGTTCGCTCCTGTAAAATGATGATGTCATTCACCGATATTAAGTAAAATTTCGGTCTTGGGATTTCTGCGAAAATAGATGATGAGTCATATAAAACATCAACCACATAACTTTAGAAGGTACAAACAAATATAGTTAAATATTAAATCTTCCGTTCAAGACACATAATGAAATAATATACATTGTTTATCTAGTGTTCAAATTCTTAGCTCCAATGTATATAAAAATGAAGTTGAGTTTTGCTTTAGTATATATCTTTATGTTTACTCTAAAAAAGAATATTTTAATAAATTCAATTTCTATTTTATTACTAATATCTTCTAATTCTGAAATTTACAAATTAACCTATCTATTTGGTTGCTTATTTTAATTTCAGCACTTATGATGTATTTTTAAGTTTATTTTACTTTACAATCTTTTTGAATAAAAATTACAATGTTTAAGTATTTATAATTATCTGTTTTATATAGTTTATAAATATTAAATAATATAAAATAAAAGTATTTAATATCAAAATGATTAGTTTTAAAAAAAAAAAATTAATTTTAAAATGAAGTAAAATATTGGATTACTCTAAAATAGGAGCAATATTAATTTTTTACATTGTTTTGAAATAGAAAATGAAATAGGAAAAAAGAGAAATCTACTTCCAAATAGCATTTGAAGTAAAAAATAAGTATGGTTGAAGATGTTTTTACTACCATCATAATTAGCTATGAGCATTCAGGTTAGGATTAGGTCTTTTCGGATATCAGCTACTTTGGTTTTAAGCTATGAATCTCATTTGAATATTTTTTTAAATTTTTAGATTGGATTCGGTTTAGTATATGTTGCATTCAGATCGGTTTCGGATATTTGAATTGTCCAAAAATTATCTAATTTGTTTTTTAAATTAGATTTTAAAAATATTTTAATATATTTAGTTAAATTTTGCAAAAAAAAATTAACTTTAATAATTATAACTAAAACAATTAGAATATTTTAATTATTTTAGTCTAATATACGATTGATAATTATGATTATTTTATGTCTAAATATATATATATATAATTGTATTTCAGATATTTATATAGTTTTCGGTTTGGTTCGGATTCGTTAATCCTTCGTTCCAATTCAATTCAATATTTTTTAATTTAATTTAAATCAATTCGGTTCTTGAAGTCTGATTTTATGAGCATACCTGATCATAATGGAGTAAAGATAAATTATAGAATATAATTGATTTATTGCTGCAAATCAGATACAAGACTCAATATCTTAAGTAATATAGCATATACAAGCATATACAACCAGCCACACACAAAATTCAAAAGTGAAAATATGGAATCTGTCTAGTCATAAAATGAAAGAAAAACAATATTGGAAGTTGATGCCCAATTCTAAAACAAATACGGATAAAAGAGAAAATCCCTTTAAAAAAAGAAGAATAGTATATGAAGGGATAAACAGACAATCGACATCAATCATAGAGAACAAGAGACTAATAGTAACAGTTTTTAGCAGCCATCATAGTTAAACATTCGCAGTATCTTAATTTTTTTTTGTCTATTGTTAAGTTTGTCGGTTATAAACAAATAAACTCGATTCTATGTTTTTTCATAGTTCTTCAAACGAAATAAATATTTTTTGCTCACATAAAATTGAATGAGAAGGTAAAAGAAAAGATAGATAAAGCACATCACCTGAACCGAGTCTCTCTCTATCTTTTCAAAATTCTTCGGCTTTTTGGTTTATTGGGCTAGTATCCCGTAAAACATTTTAGACATTATCATATATCATGTGTGCATAAGAAATACCCAAGGACAAAGGACGGAAGGTGATGTTGATATACTATATTTTATCAAATTTATTTCGGGAAAAAATTTAGAAAAAAACATATTAACCATTTTTGTGGTATATATTCATGTGTACAGTGACACACTGACAAAATGTGCTTTATCTATGAATATTGTTGCATCGCACATATAACATGTTACATGTTCCTAGAAAGAAAACTATGTTGACAAAATGTAAATGTCTAATTCGTGCCCAAAATTTCTATAAAAAAAAAATCTCAAGAAAATAATAGTCTACCGTAATTAGATTGTCATGACTTTTTAAAATTTAATCTTGGGTGCCATGACTTTTTCAAGTAATTAGATTGTTTCCAACCTTTGGCATTTTAACTAATTTTTAAAATACTTCAGATACTAACTATGTCTTGATGATTCGATACACATTATAACTAACTTAAAAAAAAAATGACATCTAAAAGGTAAAAAATAAACATAGCAAAAAGACATCTAAAACTTATAAAATAGAACCAACATAAACTTTTGTTTTCAAGTCACAAACATAACCTTACGAAAAGTACCTTTAACGGAAATAATAGGAGACGTATCACAATCATTACATGGTGGTATTTGCATGTATAAAACTAAATATCTCTTGGATGGAACTTGCAATGTCTTCTGCCGTAAACCTTGTCTCACTTGTAATCTGCACATGTTTTACATCACATCGTGTTAGCCTTTATTAGTAGTTGCTCGCTAATAGCTACATATACTTTATAACAATACTAATTCATGATACATGCGTCTTTGTAACTCCTTTATGATTTTCTTCTCTTTTGTGCGTAGAGGGAAACAAAATCTGTGACTGTTGCTGTAAAGCTCTTTCCTTTAGAACTTTGTACTCCCCAAAATTATATTAATAAACTCGGAAGTGATACCTTAAACATAAATTTTGCATGGTTATAATGAAAACGATATATAATATTGTATATTACTAGACTGTTTTCCTAATGGCTTATTAATAACATACTTTTAGGTATATGAAAACAATCCTAACATATGCGCTCAATAAACTTTATATGTATTATATCTAAACCCCTATGATTATAATGTAGAGCAAGTGAAACTTGCCTTGACGTTGAAGGAATAGAGGACGGTTTGTTCCATGGTAGTGATGTTAGTGTGAAGAATAGAGAGATGAAGATCCTCCAACGCAGCAATAGTCTTGATCAGTTGTCCTGGTCTTCTTCTTGAAAGTATCTTGATCATGGCGTCAAACCCTAGTAGCTTCACCTCCACGTCAGCCAAACATGACTTGTTCTCCGCCGTCTCTTCCCGAAGCCCTCCTCCTCCACCCTCTAATTCGGTTGCATTTCCAGTAATGATCAGCGGGTTAGCAACCGAAGTTATGGGTGAAGAAGAAGTTGTTGTCGTGGCCATGTCCCCAATTTGCCTGTTACCGGTTTCTCCGAGGATTCTCCGACGCTTCTGTGATTCTAGACATTGTAGGAGTTGCTCTAGCTCTCTTACAAACTCTATTGCTCCTCCTATGATCGATGCTTGATCTCCCTATATTATATACCGTAACTATTAGTCCTAGTTAAATATATATACGACACGTATGAACATAATCACAAAAAGAAAGAAAGGGTAAATGCGTAATCATACCCTTTGAACGTATGATCCAGGCATGAGGGACCTGAGGACACGAAGATGCTCGTTCATTTGCTTCCTACGGTTCCTCTCGACAGCGATATGAGTCATTCGTTGGCTTTCCACTTCTTCGCTGGTCTTGCTTGTTCTAGCTCTCTTCCTCTTGCTCTTCACCTCCTTTGTCGTAACATTCTTGTTCTCTCTATCTTCTTCGTCTTCTCCTCCAATAAAACGCAGTTGCATGGAGTTATTATCGTTTCCATCGTCTTGATTCTCTTTTTCTTCAAGAAACACGTTGCTTATGTTTCCTTCACAGTCACCTCCTTCTTGAGACATGAGATGATGGGTTTGGTTATGGTCCTCTATCTTATCGTTCAACACTGGGAACTTCAAGAAATAAACCGGGTCCATACCGGTTTCTTGATCGTCTTGGTTTCTGGTTTGGTTCAACCCCAGTTTCGGACCGAAGTCGGCAAACTGCATCACGTCTGCAAAACTCATTTTATCAAAAGTAGGCGTTGCTCCAAATCCTGAAGGAGACAGTTGATGTTGCTGCGGCATCGATTGCTTTTGTTGTTGAAGGTTTCTGTTGAACATGTAGTCTATCATACCGGAGTTGTTATCGTCGTTACCGCCTGAGGATTCCCCTAAGAAGTTCGGTGCCTGAAAGAAACCGGAATCGAATAATCAAGTTGATATAAAAAGTAACAGAAATTTATAAGGAGAAGAAACTAATGATGAAGATATGAAATTTAAAACGTACGTACCGAATAATCTTTATCCATAGCTATTCGTACTTGATTATAAACGCCTTAACGTCGAGTTAATGTTTAGCTTCTTGACTCCAACACGATCTAACGACAAGAATCCATGAGTTTCAGAGTCAGTCGAAAAAATGTACATGAAAAAAAAAAACACTCACGTAAAACAAGTTAAGAACAAACCTAAGCATGATACATGTTCATATGCATAAACACAAACACATTAAAACTTGTTTTGAAATGGAGATGATGAAATAAAAGGGGGCTGACCTTTGTATGCTTTACTAGGGTTTACGATAGATGATATAAGACATGCAAGAGAAGCAAAAGATTTATAAGAGAAAAATGTATTGAGAAGTCACAAATGATCTAGCAACCACTACCAAACTCCCATATATATGCGCACACGCATATACATAGAGAGAGAAAAAGATACATACAGTACATGTGTACATACGGTATAGCTAGCAAATTAAAAGGCATCAAAGTTCTTAAATGTAGGTATGTTCTTAACAGTGTGTTTGCATGATTAAACAAAAATGGTTTGTATAGTAAGTAACTAAGAAATCATTATATATAAAAAAACAATTGGTTATCATCACACATTGATTGAAAAAATATATTGTCGATCAATTAGTTATATAATCTTTACTATTATTGTAATCTACCTTCCTCTATCTTTAAAGACGAGAACACATTACAGCATTTTATTTTTCTCCCTAACTAACTTACTTATATTAACTAACTCCATTACAGAAAATTTTCAAATATTTTAATCTTGACAGTCAAATTCGAATTGGAGATCTAGAGCTCTTAAAAAATTCAAATAGAATTAATTACCGAGATTGAGACCGAGTCAAAATGAATGATTATTGAATTTTCCAAACCGTATCTTGTTTTTGTAATAAATACTAAAAATATATCTTTTTCCGTAAACGTAAGAGGGAGAGGAGCCACAAAATAAAGGAAAAAGGGACTTTGAAAAACACACGTGTATCACCTCTCTCTATCTTTGGAACCATTAAAGAGTAGATAAGTTTCAGAGTTCACAAGCAAGCCTAACCGCTCTTCTTTTTCTACCGCTTTTCGTGAACTTAATCAAATCTCCCTACGCGTCTCCTCTTTTATTTCTATCATTTCATATTTTTTTTTTTGTTAAAGATTTTCTATCATTTCATTTTTTTTGTTAAAATTTTTCTATCATTTCATATTAAGTTACTTATGTTATGTGTTGTCAAATATAAGAACTTTTTTTTTGTTTTCACGAAAATGACCTATGCTATTTGTGTGTGTTGTGGAGACATGTGAATTTTTTTCATTTTATTTTTTGTCGTCAGACATGTGAATTTTAATAAGGACAAGATTTAATACATACGTACGAAAATGGTTCAAATAGTATTTTTAAGCATCTTATAGAGAATTTGCACACATACAAAAAAAAGCATCTTATAAGTTATATAGTAAACTATTTTCTTTTTCTTGGATGCACACGCCGAAGACTGAAAAGTTTGTTAAAAAAAGTGTTGAAAGTTCTCATTTATATTTATTGATAACGTACAGCTTTTTGTTGCTGTTAATAATTAACTTGTAGACGTTTTTCTTGAAAAAATCTATTATATTAAAAAAGAATCCTATTTAAAAGAATAACTTTTAGTTACTATGTTATTTAGTTAATGTGCCATGGGAATTAAATATATAAAAGTTTATTAAATCTATTATTTTTATTAAATTATTAAAGGCCTAATATTTTATTTTCCTTTTTATTAAAAGGCCTATTTTTGTTTAAAGATTTAGAACTATCTTATTTTTTTGTTTTTAATTCGAAATTTATCCAAAAATTATATAGAAAATACCAAAAATTAAAAAATAATATATTTAGGGTCTAAATTTTATTTTGTTCAAGAAACCTAAAATATGTTACTTTGGGGCTATATGTCAATATTTATTATGTTTCTTTTTCTGCTATTGGACTTCTTCAACTACTGTTTATATATCCAGAAAATTAAAATCAGATACCCTGATCGATTTTTTCCTGAGAGAAGATAAATGAGAAAAAAGAGAAAAAACATAGAAAAAAATCAATAAAAATAAGAAAAGAGGAAGAAAGGAGAAGAATAATGTAGAAGAAAAGCTTAAAAGAAAAATGGAGAAAAATAAGAAGAAGATGAAGAAGATGAAGAAGAGAAAAAAAAAGAATAACAGTGATAAAAACTTAGAAAAATAAGAAGAAAAACAAAAAAAGAATAATAATGAAGAAGATAAAGACAAAGAAAAAATATTAATATATTATCTTCTTATTAAAAATTAAACACACGTGTGTTATATATTTTTTTCACTAAAAAATATGAGTACGATTAACAAAAAATATATAATTAACTATTCAAACTTTAAACTCTAATAGTTAAATCCAAAATAATATCTAAAACATAAATTTTAATCTTATAAATATATACTCAGCGCAAACGTAAACACATGCTTAATTTGTAAGAGTGTTGCTTAATATATAAAGTTGTATCAAGTATGTTTACGTAAGAATGAATATATTTTTTCATATATATATTTTATAACATTTTAGCATTATTTGTAAATTAATTATTTTGAGTAAAATATTGTAGAAACATAAAATCACATTTTAAAATTGTATTTACAAAACCAATATTTTCTAAAATTAATTTTTAAAAAAATTATATGCGTGTCGATGCGCAGGTTAGATCCTAGTTTTAATTATTAAAACTAAACCATAATACATACAAATTAATTATAGGGTATTCACCATATGCATATACAGGTGAAATGAGTGACACAAATTTGAAGGACGATTTGTGAGTAAAAAAACAATAATTGACTTATTTAATTTGTCTCCATGAAAGCGATTTGAGAAACTTTGTTTTTATTCTTACGAATTGTATTTAATAGTTACCTAGGTTTTTTTTTTTGCTTTTATCAAACTATAAAAATATATTTTGTTTTTCATATCTTTTAGGCCAACAATCCCCATTTTAATTATCATAACAGTTCTAAAATATTAATAAATGGAATCTAACTTTAGTGTAAAAGACAGCAGTTTTGATCACTTAACGAATTAGGTAAAACAAAATTTCCTGTACAATATTTATTGTTATATCATCTTCTCTAACCGTTATATATTGTTATTATTATATCTACTAGATGAGTACCCACGCGATGCGCAGATTTTTGTTTTATAATATAGTTTGTTAAAAAGTTTAGTTATAATTTATTTTATCGTATATTTAAATTTTACTTAAAAATATTGAATATTTGAATAAACATGCAATATGTATGTACGTATTATGTAGATATTGACTATATATGTGATAAATGGTTTATTGATCATGAAATATAAAATATATTATGCCTTGTATATATATATATATATAATAAATTAAATAGATATACTGTAAATTAGATAAGTACTATATAATAAAAAATGTAATAGAGAAACTCTTCAAAGCACAATATAAGTAGAGACGGCTCTTTTTCGCAGGTCGTATTTGTTCTTGGCGCAGACTACTTAAACATTTCTAGTCACTATTTTTTCGGTCATATATCACACCGCAAATCCCAATTTATTTTACTTTTATTCTGATTATTTTTGTGAGATTGTCATTACATTAATAATACATTGAAATATACGTTTATCTTAACATATAAAAATTAAAACAAATATATATTTAATTATCACATAATAAATAATTAATTATTCTAACTTTAATTACTGCATAATAATATTTTATTAATTATAATGACAGTTGTCACTTTCTCTAATGCTGATGTGACACTCAACTGGAGAGAGTTAACCATCTTTTATATTATAGATTAGTTTGTATTTTTTTTCTTTATTTCTTGAAATTTATTTATTATATATGTTTACGGCCTTTTAGTAATGATTAATTTTAAAACTACAAATAACATATTTATATTTATGTACATTTAATCATAATTTATATGATATAATTAATATTAGATATTACAAAATTATTCTCAACACATTTAGTAAAATTCATTACAACTTTGTTCCAAAAGAATTGACTATACTAAAAGAAAATATATTTAAACATATTTTTTATTTTTAAAAAAATATTACTATATTAAAAAAAAGAATACTTGGACTATATTAGTCAGATTCATTACAATGCTTACATATAGTTTTTATTTTAGACTTTAATAAAATATCTCACTCTATGTTTTGAAATTTAAAATATCACCAAAACTACAGCTAACTTTAGGTTTATAAAGATTTTATAAATATTGACTAAATAATTGAGGAACCTTTACTAAAATTCAGGAATTTTTCAAACCTCTAATTATGGCATTTTTTAGCAACACATTCAAAATTTTGGTATTTATATGAAAGTGAAACTTGGATTTCTGTTATTTTATGATATGTTTTTTTTTATTGATACAAATTTCAAATTTCTGCATTCATGATAGTTGTCTTATTTTAATATTTTTATGTTCAGAATAATTCACAGTGTATAATATTGCTTTACAACAACTAAATGTTTTCACTACTAAAATAAATGTATATACTTTTAATAATATATATATACATTGTTAATAGCTATAATTTATATTTTCATTTGATAAAATATATTTATTTACAATATACTGTATTAGATGAAACAACAACAAAAATATTATCATTCACTTTTACGTAAAGTGGTGCTTACATTAATAGAATATCTAAGTGACTAAAATTATATATAATCGAAATAACTTACATTGTTCATAGCTATTTATTTATATCTTCATTTGAAATACAATATATTTATTTACAATATACTGTATTAGATGAAACAACAACAAACGAAATATATAATTTGGGAAAAAAATGAAACCAAAATATTCATCAAAGTAATTAATGAAAAAAAATGAAAACAGAAATAGTAATTAGACCTTATAAACAAGCAAGCATTATTTCTAAAACTAAAAATTATAGAACACAAATAGTTATGAAAAAGTCCCTTCATTATTATTTTTTATAAATGTGGTAGGCCACTGATTCCATTATGAAAAACAGATACCACCTTTTCTACATATGAAATTTTAGAATAAATTTTTATTTTAAATTATGACAAACCCATATTTTAATGGTGATTTTTATGCATAACTAAAATTTAGATAAATTATATGTAAATTAATAAAAGAGTTATCTGACAACAAATATATCATATTAATTTATGTAATGAACAGCGTCACCGACATTTGTTTTTACTGCACATCGTATTTCTTTTTCTTTAATGAGATAGCTGTAAAAACATTGAAAAAATAAAATGGTGTTAGACAACAAAAAAAGTCATATATTACCTTTTAATTTCCTTTTATTTTCTTAATGGGGCTTTTCTTCTGTCTTCTTTCCTCCTTTTTTTCTTCCTTTGTTACTTTTACTTTCCTTCTTTTATTCTTTATGTATAAAAATAATATACGTATAACATATAATTGTTGTAATAACCAAAAAATATTTTGGATTAGTCCATCGCTATATGCACTGCTTTCTTTTGTATAGTGATACATATAAAAGACAAGGACTATAATACATTTGAACATGAAACGTAAGCTAACAAAATATTTGATCCGTGTGGTTTTTTAGAAATTAAAAAGAAAATCATAAATAGTTAAAATATATCCAACGAATCAGTATTTTTAATGATTTTGGTCCTATATGGTTTTTTACTTATAATCAATCTACCGCACGTTATTTAATATACATGAATGAATCTAAAACACAGCATTTTTTTCTTTCTAAAAATCCATTTTAAATGGAATAGTTTCATGTTTTTCTATGTATATATACTATATACAA